GCCGTCACTCTGCCTTCCTTTCCTTTGAAGGCTGAATATCATTTCAGCCTAAGTACACACCACGTTTTGTCCATCCGTTCTCCTGTTGATGGACACTGGGTAACTTCCATTTTAACTATTGTGAATAATCCTGCTAGGAATATGAACGTGCAGATGTGTCCTGGAGGCCCGGTTTCACTTCTTTTGACTGTGTACCCAGTAGTCAAGTCACTGTGTTACATGGCACATCTCCGTGTTTTTGAGGAATCGTTCGCTGCCTGGAAAGTTTCTATACAAAGGTAGAGCAGTGCCCAGCGGTGGTGACACACGCTTTAATCCCAGCACTTGGGAGGCAGGGGCAGGTGGATCTCTGTGAGTTCGAGTCTAGTCTGGTCCACTGAGTGATTTCCAGGACAGCCAGAGCTACACACAGAGAAACCCTGTCTCGAAAAACAAACAGAAAAACTAAAAACCCAGAAACTGTGGTAGTAGCACAAAGGTAGAGCAGTGGGCCAAGACAGCGCTACAGATGCCACCTCCCTCTTGTTCCAGGAGCCACATTCTTCCCCTGCTCTAGTGTGGGGGTGGTCCTGAGAAGGGATGGGGCTCCCTCCCTGGAAGCACTAAGGGCTCCACTGTAGCCACATCAATCAACAACCCCTCCTGGAGTCCAGTGGCCAGGGGAGGGACCTCAATCTTCTGTGGTCTCAGCCACCATCTATCATTATGATGGCTCAGGTCACACTGTCGTCCCATGGTTCTCCCAACAGAAGTCAGCCCCCTGACACACAAACACTTCTCTTTTTTCACCTCTTCCTGTGGTCTGAATTCCCTCACTTGGTTAATTAGCATGCTTGGCACTGTAGCTTAAGACTTTCATCAGCGTGGGGTGCTTTTAATTAATCGTGGGGCTCTGCATCTGGAGTGGTTTGTGTTCCAGGGTCAGGAGAAGAACTGAGGTGGGGGATGGAGAGGCAGCTTTGTTTGGTGTCCAGTGTAGGTAGAAAAATCCAGATACTGGGGTGGAAAGAGGAATCATGGGGGCAAGTGGCTGAGAAACCATCTGGCCACCTTTGGAACATACTAGCAAGGTGTGAATCAGAGCCCAGGACTTTAGGGTATATAATTTGCAACCGAGATAAATGGCTGTACTAATTTCAGTTTGCCAAGGTGATTCTAAAGTGTCTGGGAAACTTCTGGTGCACTCTAGAATTGTCCACAGGAAAGCAATGTTGTGGCTAGAGAAGGTGAAGCCACAGAGGCAGTACTGGGCAATGCTGGAGAGCAGGTAGCCCGAGAGTGGGACTTCTGAGAGTCCCTGGTCCCTGGTTCTGCAAAAGGGAGAGAGATGACATCAAACCCTCAAAAAATGACAACTGTTTTCTTTGGTTTATTGGAATTCCTTTGTGGCCTGTTAATTTTAGCATCCATGCTTTAAGAGACTGGGGAACATTTAGATCAACCTCACAAATAAATAGTAAAAAATGACATGATGCCTAGTGGGAATGAGCTGCAAGAAAGGCAAAAATCTCTGTTGTTGGCCTTTCAAAGAGAAAGTTCCAGATTCCCAGATAATGTCTTCAGGGTGTGTTCTCTTGAAAGTCTCTAGTATCATGTTTACACATATCCATGAAAGCCAAACAAGAAGGACGGAATGACTTAGGTGAGGTTTTTGTCTGGACACTTACAAGGAGTTGCAATGTCAGCTTCAAAAGGAATCTAGAATGAGCCCTATGGTTGCATATTTTTTAGATGATTGAAAGAGACCTGGAGGGAACTGTTCAAGTTCATCTGGAGAACCAGGAGCAAAGCAGTAGCTAAGATCTAGCTCTCAGACTGTTGGGGACTTGTGTCCTGTCACACATAGATGTGTAGCTGAAATCAAAGAACGGTGTAGAGCTGACTCAGAAGCTAGGAAAGGGTCTGAATCCATCCGGGAAGCTGGGGGAACTTCAGAGGCCCATCTGAAGAGTGAAATGGTGAATGGCTTAGGAGCTGATGTCACCTTTAAAGAGGAAATGACAGGATGGATGAAGGGACTAAGGATCTTCCAGATCTATTAACTCCCAGTGTAGCTCCCCAGAGCTAGGGAAGGCTCGGGGCATGTCTCTGTGACTCGGGAGATGGGTCAGTGCGATGAGCAACAGGGAATGCAATGCTCACAGCAAAGCCTGTGGTAATCTTAACCATCCCTGTGGAGGGCTGGACCCTGGACCCCATATGAATCAGTTTCCTGGTCATATGCTTCAGGAATAGAAACATGGGGTTTATCTCAAGTTTAAGGACAGGAAAAACTAGTCTCAGAGACAATAGGGTCTCATTGCTAGTGATGGCCAAGGGTGCTTTGAACCTCCCTCTGTAGACTCTGACATCTTTTCTAACCAAAGGGGAAAAAAATGATAGCTGTTTAAAAGCAAGAGAGGAAGGATTTTATAATTATGGCCTACTGACATTATTAAACACCAGTTGCAAAGGTTTCTCAGGTATCCATCTCAACCAGGGGATGGCTCTTTACTCAAAGTGGCATACCCCAGAACTCCAGAAGACAGGAATACCCTGGAATCCCAGGGCATACTTCAGAACCCTGAGGCAGGCCCTGGAGCCCAGGGACATACCCTGCAGCCCCAGGTAAACACCAGAAACAGAGCTAACATCCCAGAAACCCAGGACACACCCCAGCATCTTAGGGTATACTTCAGAATTGTAAGGCACACCCTCACCCAGGGTTCACCCTGGAATTCCAGGGCATATTCCATGCAAGACAGATTATTGAACATGTTGATAGGAGAAACTGGGGAGAATGTTAATTAAGTTTAGACCAAGAAAATGCTTTTGATTGAACAAGCCATGATATTTTTCCTTTAAGCCCATGCAAAATATGGAGTGCCAGACAGGCAGCTGGAACCCATGAAAACATGATTATGTACTTACGGTTCCCAACTTTCACCATCTATAGCCCTTTTTATTATTTTTCCCCCTCAGGGAGTCACATTTTGAAAGATTCTGTCTACTAAACAAACTGCATTTATTAAGTCATAATATATTTCCTACTTTAATATGGGACACACATGAGTATGCATAAACACATAAAATAGCAAACAATCCAATTTCCATTAGGCTTTTGGAAATATTGAAAATGGTTTGTGAATCTCATTCCTACTCCTGAATTCCTAGGAGTCAGGGTCCTCCGGGTTGAGCACTATTATGTATGTGTTTACATGACTAGAAGGTATTTGCTTAAGGAGGGGGAGAAAAATTAAAGTGGCACCAGGAATAAGCTAAATTCCTAGCTGCCTGTAGAGCCAGCAGGCTAATTGATTTTTAAAAAGAAACTGATCATCAAATTTAATTATAAAGACATTGAGGTCCTATGGGGAGTCACCTGGGCAATGATAGAACTTAAGACGAAATTCTAGGGGCAAAGAGATGGTTCAGTGGGTACCAGTGTTTGCCAACAAGCTTGATAACCTGAGTTCTATCCCTAGAATCCACAATCCCTGAAAGTTATGCTCTGACCTCCGCATGTGTGCACAACAAACGCATGTATGTGTGTGCATGTGCATACAGACACACACATAAAAAAGTAAGTGTGAAAAACACAGAAAATTCCAAATGCAAAGCAAAGACATTCGAACAAGCCATGAAGGCCAAGGGCAAATCTGTGAGAATGAGAGGAGGCCGCTACAGAAAGACAGATGAAGGAAAGGAGGAAATGAAGTCAAAGGAGCCCATAGTGGGACTTGGAATTAATTATTAATTAATTCCAAAGGAGTGTGGAGACTAATTGAGCAGGCTCTGGTGCCAGTTTCCCTGTGCAGGAGCTACATGTAGTCCCTGCCAAGTGGACATAAGTGTACAGCGCAGATGCTTTATGGAACAGCAGGGGAAACACAGCCCCTGTGCTCACTCATGAGCAGAGACGGTTCAGCCGGGTCAGTGTGCACAGTTTACCATGCCGCTTCTGATGATGACCATAGCCAGTTGTCCTGGCTAACTAAAAGACTAGCCAAGAAGCCCTCCATTGAGAAAAAAAATAGATATATAAAATATCCCAAATGAAAAAAAATATATTAAAAAAAAACTTTTTATAAAGAAGAAACTGGCAAAATAGGAAATAAAGACCAAGGCTATAAAAAGAAAATTAAAATTCCATTTGATCATGAGTGTCATCTTTAAATACCTACTATGTAGCAGGTACTTGGGCATCATGTAAGGCGACATCAAGGCTGCCTTAGAGAACAAAGAAAATTCAAACGATATTTGAGAGCGTGCAGGAAATGGAGGCATTTGGGCTAAGTGAAAATGTCATGTGGAACATTTTATGTTAACAAGCTGCTGTTGGAAGCGAATGTAAAGTCTCTGGGCTGGAGAGGAAGCCTCAAATCATGGAACGGGTGTGGGTAGGGGGAAACAGCAAGACTGATCTTTGAAAGAAATGCAGTGAAATCAGTTTTTGGAGCAAGTTGGTCAACAGTATGAAGCAGGAGGCAGCCACAGGGTAGATCAGTCACCTTGTTAAACAGCCAGGAGGAAGTAGAGGGAAGGGTGCTGGGTGGGGGGTTAAGTGCTCTCTGGAAAAATAAAAGTGCTAACCTAAGGGAAAGGAGTGAGGGGAAGCAAAACAAGATGGAGAAAGAATGAGCATTTCGTTTATTACTTTGATCGGAAACAAATATGTAATGGATTGGGTATTTGCAGAAATATTTGGGGGTGAGGGTAATAGGGAAATTTAAGTGTGTGATGTGTAAGTCTCTTTTATGATATTTTATATGAACTCAATGTGTTCTGTATTCCCAGACACATCTTAGAACCTAGTAAGTGGTTATATCCTCAGGATACTACGCAGCCACCGACTCCAATATGGCTCCCCAAAGTTTCTTTGTTGCCGGAGCCCTAAGCACCTCCACGCTCCTCCAGTGTCTCGGGTGATATGATGATATTTAGGATGGCAATTTTAGCTGTGAACCACAGGTGCTCTGCCGGCTCTTGACTGCTTCTTCGTCTTCATTGTGCTGTTCTAGCTTACCAGAGTTCCTGTGGAATCCTGTGGGCAGTATCGGAGCTGTGGCGAGTGTCTTGGCTCAGGGGACCCCCACTGTGGCTGGTGTGTGCTCCACAACACGTGAGTACCATTGGCTGCTCCCTCCCGCCTCCTGCCAGTGGCTCTCACCCTCCTCTCTGTCCTTCCTCTCTCTCTCTCCTTCTGCACTCTTCTCTTCCTCGCCCTTCCATCCCTGCACCTCTTGCAAGCTTTATCACTCTGCCGTTCTTTCTGGGTTCACTTTAACTTGTCCAGGTCCCCTAAGACATGTATGGCAATGACACCCTGGAGAGCCACAGGGAAGCAGACCCTCGGACTTGTCTGACTTCAATTTGCTGACTTTTCAGAAGATTCCCCCTCCCCGCAGCCCTTCCCCCCCAATGACAGGGGATTTTTTTTTTTCTCAAAATTCAACCAGACCACTAAATTATGTGCTAGGTATATATGTGACGTCCATCTTGTAACTCAACATCCATTCAATATACCCTGTGCTATGACCACAGAACTTCCTGTTACTTTTATGTGTGACATACATGAGGACCCTTCCTTGGCTGTCACACACCTATAAGCTGGCTACAAATAAACTCGGGCCTAAAGTCAGGAGGGAAGAAAGGCCAGACCAACTGCCAGCACATAACCATGCGCTGCTGCTGCTTATTTTTTTCCTTTCATTTATTCTCTAGAAGAGGGGAGAAGGCAATCAGAATCATCTGGAAACCAATAGTAACTCGATGAATGAACTGGAAATGCAGACAACTAGCCGGGACATAGGAGAGAGCTGAAGACCATTCTTAAATTCTAATTAATTTTTATCTGCCATGTATCAGTGTTTTGCCTGCATGTATGTCTGTGTACTATGTGTATGTTTGGTGCCCAGAGAGGCCAGAGAAGCGTTCTGATCCCTCAGAACTAGAGTTACAGATGGCTGCTAGCTGCCATGTCAGTGCTGGAAATTAACCGGAGCCCTCTGGAAGAGCGGCTACCCACTGAGCCATCTCTCCAATCCCAAGATCTTTATTCTCTCCTCCTGGAATAGCTACCATAGTTAGACCCCATCCAGTGGAATTTGGCCCTACTCTAGCCATCACTGATTCCTGTGGCCGCCCGAAACCTGATCTTCTCTGAGCTATCCACAAGCCCCATAAGATAGGATTTTAGTCTTCTCATTAACAGCCTGAAGTACTTGGGACCAATAACATTTGTTGTAATTTTCAGTAATTTTGGACTATAAGAAATTGGAGGTGGGATCTTATCTCTCTCCTCTTCCAAAGGCAGGAAACACTCTCTTAGATTCTGACAGTTAAAAACACCCTCCTAATTTCTCACACAGCCTCTCCAATAGAACAGCCAACTTCCTTTTTTTCTGGGTGTTGGACATAATGAGGCCTTGAGTTCCTTCAGGGAAGGCCTGAAATCTGTTAGGCATGGTATAGCAAAAAGAAATTGAGAACCACTGAGCTGTACTGAAACACACATGACTCCGAGGCAGATGGGAAACTGTGCTGAAACGGACATCAGGGTCGTCCGGTAATAGTGCAGTGGCCCCAGGATTGGCCCCCACAAAGGACGGTGGAGAGGTGCATTTGGAAGGCAGACCAGCTTGAGTCAAGTCAGAAGAGGTCCCCGATGCTACCTGGTAAGGCAGAAGGAGATAAATTTCTTTGTCCAGCATAGTGAGACCTCCCAGAAAAGGAATGAATGCATTCTCAACCTAATGCCTTCCTCAGGAACTTTGAAGCTACCTAACTGGCTGGTTGGGCGTGCCTTAGTTATCACAGCATGGTACAAGTGTTACTTCAGGGCCATCATTAAAGCTGGTCCCTTCCTAAAATCCTTCAGGACCAAAACACAGGTCTCTGTGTCCCTGTTAGTTTGTGCCATGATGCTATCCTAGCCCCATAGGACACTGATCGCAGTGAGCATTCAGGACACTGGGGCTTAAAGAAGGTTCCAGGAGGGCCAGAGTGCCTCACCACCCAGCTCCACAGCTAGGTTAAGCAGGTCTGAGAAGAGAAAATACCATTCACTGCTTCTTATATGTCTTCAGTCTCCCCTTGTATGGTGCTATCCCTGACTCCTATGTTAGAAAACCAAGATAAACTAAAGCCAGAGGATAGTCAGGGTCATGCATAAAGCAGGTCATCACATAGGAAAGCCAGCAGCTCCAGTCTCAGCATGCCATAAAGGACACAGTCATGGACGTGACTGTGGTGTCTGACCCAGAATCAAATCCAAATCTCCCCAGCATCCCCAGCCCTCCTCTAGGGCCTGGAAAGAGGATGCACAGTTTGCCTACTTCACTGGGTTATAGCAGAACTGATTAGGCTAACCATTTGGGTCAGATGCTTGGCGAGCAGAACACTGGCACATCAGGTAGGGTCGTCAGCGATCTCATAGGCTACAGCAAGGGCTGAGAGCTCCGAAGGGTCCTTCCTCTTAGGCTTTGGCCGACTCCTGTGATTTTCTAGATGGCCCTTGAATGGTGTGCCCAAGTCCCTGAGGGTGTCACAGCTTCAAGCTGCCTTTGCTTAATCGGCAGATGACATGCTGTTTCTCCTCACCTCCTTCAGCCTGGCATCACATCTCACTCAACCCTTACTAAACACAGGCTCTCGGAGAACAGGGGCTGAACAAGGGTTGCCTCATCTGCCACCCAGCGCTGAGCTGCTGCTTCTGGGACCTCTCTTTACCCAAGGAGTTACAGTGGGAGTGGGGGCTACTATGTGGCTATGACAGGAGAGCTTGTAATGATTACTGAAATCAATGTGGTCTAGTTCTCCTGTCTCGTACACTTGTGAGGCTGTGAGTACCACTGATTCACATTATATGTAGTAGTGGTATTCTTTTCTGGAGGGGGGAGGTGTTTGAGACAGGGTTTCTCTGTGTAGCTTTGGAGCCTGTCCTGGAACTCACTCTGTAGACCAGGCTGGCCTCAAACTCATAGAGATCTGCCTACCCCTGCTTCCCAAGTGATAGGGTTAAAGGCGTGTGCCACCACCGCCTGTTGTAATAGTGGTATCTTATAAAGATCTGTGAATACTGAATTAGCAAATACCAAACCACTGCCCCTAAGAGAAATAGAGGGTCAGGTTACTGAGAACCTCTGGTCACAACCTTTTCATCAATGGACTGGTGCATAACCTCATTTGTTGGACATCTGTATTAAGACGTCTTCCTCAGTCAACACCGCCAATTCATTGACATTCAACTCATGGCCAACAGAACTGTAACTTCATACCTGGATGAAGATTCTCATGATTCTCCTGCCTCCATGTCTTCTGTATGTCCTACAGCATGTGCCTCTACAACACACACACACACACACACACACACACACACACACACACACACACACACACACACCTTCTCTGTGTTACACCATGGCCTTGGTGTGTATAGGAATACAGGGCAGTACATCTTTATAAGTCATAAGTCAACAAAGGAGAGAACTTGAAAAGTGTGGCATTAAATAGGCCTCAAAATACTCATTTATACTGAAACAAGAAGGCAGAATGTCACCTCTTCTTACCCTAGCGATGTACATGTGACTTGAATCACTCCTCACTCCACATACGACCTTGAGTGACCTCAAAAGTGCCATGAAGACAAGTTTGGAGACCACTAATAAATGTTAGCAATTCACTGAATTTGAAGTATGGAATCCACAAATATTGAGGGTTGACCATAAAACTGTGTGGAAGAAACTTGGCATCTACATTTGCAAGGAGGGAGAACCATAGCTTGTCATGGTGCTAACTTGAGGATGAGATGGGGTAATAAAGGCTGCTGTATGAGTCCAAAAACCTCTGCACCATCAGGGTGCTGCTCTCTATAATGTTAAGCTCTCAGTGAAGTGAATGCATGATGAGGGCAGACAGAAACTGACATTGGATCTGTGTCCAGGGTATCTGGAAACTTCCTTGGTAAGACACAGCTCATGAATCCCCACAGGCCCAGACTGTCTGATTACTGAAACACTCGGCAGGTCCTTCTCCTGCCCTCAAGATACAATTTTAGACTTGTATAGACTAAAATGCACAGATCCAATGTGTTCCATCTGAAGAGCTTTAACATGTGCAAACCTAGGTAGCCCAGGCAGACAGCGCTGCCTCCCTCTAGAAGGTTCTCTTCTCCTAGTCAGTGCTACCTGTAGGTCTTGATTCAGGTCAGGCACGGAAGTTGCTCCTCCTGCCCTGTCCTTTTCAGTGGGCACAACGTGAACATGCATGTTTGGGAGAGGCAACAAAAAGGGCGTGGGCAAAGCAGAAGAAAGGAGAGGGCTGGGTGTGAAGAGTGAAGTGTCGGTGTGGGAACCAGTCTATAGATGCTGGTCCTGAGAGGCTCTGCTAGCAAGGGAGCAAGGAACCAGCATGGGAGTGTTTCCTAAAGCATTGTATACACAGACACACAAGTGCGTACTCCTGCATGCATATCTGTGGACACACACACACACACACACACACACACACACACACACACACACACTCAGGGGGTCTAAGACCAGACCTGCACTTTCTGTGTTGGACACAGTGCTAGTCTCAGGGATGCAAAATGATCAGGTTATATTGTCTCTGTCGTGAATCTTCTTGGGGACCAGGCCTTTGGTGCAATGATGGGGTCCCTGAATCAGCACATTTGTCAGGCTTCCGTGCTGGCAAGACCCTGTGCTAAGTGGCCCTGGCCCTTGCCGAGTGCCCCAGCAAGCTCGACCTTCATGAAATCCATGACAAAGAACAAAACAGGACCCTCTGAGTGTGTGGCTCCGTCTGATTTCATGGTCATTTTTGAGGAATAAGGTGATGTGTGTGTGTGTGTGTGTGTGTGTGTGTGTGTGTGTGTGTGTGTGTGTGTGTGTGTGTTAGACAGAGACTGACAAAAAAGAGCAAGAGGGTGGGAGAGAGCCACAGAAAAAAACAGAGGAATGAGAAGTCTGAGGACAGAGCCTCTGCAAACAGGTGGCCATGTCATTGAAAGAGCTTTTGTACCAGGGAGGTCACAGGAGGGCTGTGAGCTGAATATGCTGAAGAGATGACCCAGTCATTTAAATCCTTTCTGCTGTTCCTCCCTCTGCCCTAGTGAAC